CATAAATCAAATTTTTAAAATACAATTTTTCTTCAAATTTAGTGGTAAATTCCCAATGCTCTTCAGCCTAGAACCTCCATATTTAAGTTCAATCCTCACTTTTGTAAAATTTAAGAAAGTATTTTAATTTGGATAGGAGTCATGTTAATTTACTATTAGGAAAAAATGACATCTCCCTTCTAACAACAACAGCAAAGAAAAAACCCACAAAACATCCCCTTTCCTATAAAGAGATTCTGCCTCTCATCTGTTATATTTCTACAACTTGAGACTAATTCAGTCCCCTTGATATTGAATTCCCCTTTTCTTGTTCTTACTGAGGTTTCTTACCTCATATCCTCATTTCTTACTCTTTTGAAACTGCCACATTGTTCCCTTGTTTCCCACCATGCCACCATTTCAATGCTGGACACCCTGGCCCTTTTTTCCTGAGAAATTAAAATTCAGCTAAGAGAAAACTAATTTTCATTTACATGAGAAAAGATCTGTAGCAATGTATTTTAAAAACTGCTCAGTCATGGTCTTCTACCACCAATAAAGGTAGACAATAAACTCTTCCTAGTGTCAAGGTCACAAACAACTGCTACACTCCCAACAAGACTCATTCAGAAATACCCAGCAGCCTCCCTGAGTTTCTATAAAAACCAACAGTTCTATTTTCAAAGAGAGTGAACATAATGCTTCCTTGAAGATATTCTCCAGTCTCCCCACAGCAGCTTTTAAATGGAATGAATAATTATCTAAAGGAGAAAGAAGGAAACTGAGGCTAGTGAAGTCCTTCTTCATTACCACATCCCCGCCTCCAAGACACACACACCTTTCAGTCCCTGGCTCCTATGAATCCTAACACTTGCTTTATTTACCTGGGAAAAACTGACAATAATGGGACAAGATTAGCTCTGGGGTGGGCTGTGGCTATGGCTCAGTGGTAGAGCACCTGCCTCATACATGTGAGGCACAGGATTCAATCCTCAGCCACCACATATAAGTAAATAAAATTAAGTCATTGTGTTCATCTACAACTTAAAATATATATATATATATATATATATAAAATAAATATATACATATTATAAATAAATATAAATAAATAAATATATATATATATATATATATATTTTTTTTTTTTTTTTAATTGGCTCTGGGGAATCTTAAAGGGACACCAGCTCCTATGAATCCCCCTTTTTGCTTATTTGACTTTTGGCTAGAAGAATGTAGCTTATTTAAACATTATGTTCATTCTTTTTCTTTTCTCCTTTCTTCAAAGAACTAAATTCATCACAAGTTGTCTACCATGAATTCCACAACCCAAGGATAAGTTCTTCTGATTGTGCTGATTTATAAAATAGAAGAGACACTGCACAGAACACACACTGCTCTTCCCATTCTAAGTACACCCCACTTCATCACACTTTTCTAATCTTACTGCTAAGACCTTATTTTGGAACTTAAGAGTCCACTATCCTAGTACAGAGTAATTTTTCTAATAGATAGCTATGAACATGTGGATTCCCTTCTAACAAATAATCTCAGACTCTCTGTCTACCAATTTTAACTATAAACTACAGATCATAATATTTGACATCCTCTTAAATATGGTCACCTTATTAAACAGACTTTCACTGAACACATTGAAAATATAAAATAGTACATCCCAATTTTTGCTTCTTTGCACTTGTAACTACCTTATATTGTTCTGTTCATGTTTACTGTCCTTCTACTAGACTAAACCCTTCCATGTTTACCCTTGTGTTTACCAGTGTACCTTCCACATCTAGAACATAGGAAGCTCTCAATACATATTTGTGACCAGACATGCAGCACAGTACAGCTGACTTGAAGTCAGAAGACCTACATTTGAACTACAGTTTCGGCATACAAGCTATACAATTCTCAACCATTTTCACTTCAACCATTTCATACTTTAAATAAGTATGTAGCTTATTTAAACATTATGTTCATTCTTTTTCTTTTCTCCTTTCTTCAAAGAACTAAATTCATCACAAGTTGTCTACCATGAATTCCACAACCCAAGGATAAGTTCTTCTGATTGTGCTGATTTACAAAATAAATCACTTTCCTAATCTGAAAAAGGAAGGGGTCAAACTTGATAAAAGTCTATGTAAGCTTTTCCAACTGAAAACACCCCTACATTCTAGTTTAACTGAATCTCAATCTCTCTCTCTCTCTCTCTCTCTCTCTCCTATTTAAATATCTTGTTCATGTTCACTGCATTTGGAAACTCCTTAATCCACACCTGTCAGAATACTGTTCATCCTTAAAGTTCATTATAAGCACTATTTTCCTCTTAAAGCCTAACAAACTATAAGCCTGTAAAAGGAGGGTGGAGTTCTAACTTTCTATTCTTAGCAGCTGGTACACTGCCTCTCATATAGGTGACCAACTAAACAACTGATGAATCATGAGTATATGAATGAGTGAATGAATACAGACAGCTTTTCCTGATTCCTCCAACTGCTCAGATAGGTAATCTCCTGCCTTTGGACTCATAACATTTGGTATCTTTCAGGGTACTGTGCTATTATTAATTTACTTGCCTAATAGATATTAAAATGCAAATTCCTTAAGATTAAGAACTGTCATGTTTTCCATATCCCTCTTCAGTACCTACCATTGCTCTTTGCCACAGCTGTACTTTTTAAGTTTATCTGATACATTAAACAATAAAGGGATAATAGAGAAATTGCCTCAATATACAGAAATCATTCCAAGTGTCCTATGGTCATTGAGCATGTAAGCTGCTTTATACAAAGGCATTCAAGCATAGTTCAAAGATCTCATCATTCTCTCCTTTCCATTCTGTGCTTAATAATGCTAATTTCAAAGTAGAACAGCCACCCTTTGTATCACCTACCACCCTTTCTTACAATATATATAGGGGTCCACAATCAATAATTTCACTTCACTAAACAGCTAGACTGACTTTTCTGCTAATTTCAGACTTCCATCCCATCCAATTCCCTCCTCCACAAGGTATGAAACCACTTTTTAAAAACATCTTCCTATAACGCCTTTCTTAGTTCTGCTCCTGCAAGACAAAAAGGACCAGTTTTAAGATCTTCCCCTTTTCTAAGCAGTAGCAAAGCAACACACAAATTAATCTAAGCTTATTTTTTATGTACCATCAAGATTTTTGACCCTCTTTAGCTCTACCTCCAAGTTCTTATTCAGCTTCCTTTCTCGCTTCATGATAGCTGAGGTCTTTATATTCAACATGCTCTCTGCTATCAGGTACTAAGTTCCATTGTATCTGTATCTTCTCCTTCTTGAAATGTTCATCAATAGCTGCCATCCACCCACCCCAGACACACATCTCTCTCTTCTCTCTTCTCTCTTCTCTCTCTCTCTCTCTCTCTCTCACACACACACACACACACACACAATCCATGCGTCACTGTATCTCGGACATACAAGTTCCTTACACCACACTTAATGAATGCACACTACTCTCAGAATGGTATCTTCCAGCTACACTGATTCCAACCCAGTTTCTTCTAGGGAACACAAGCTTGTTCATAGAGAGTGCCTCCCTCTCCTCACTTCCCCATTCATTCCCCGTCTTCATATTCCCCCCACCTGGTCAACTAACTACAGATGAAATTAATTCTCACTACTCCCAGCCCGCGAATGAAGAACGAGCTCTAGTTTCCTGCCGTCTACCCCCCTCCGGTCTGCCCTCCCCCCCAGCACCCCAGGTGTGCCGACTTCCACCCGGTCCTCTCCGCATGCATCCCTCCAACCAATCCCACACCGCACCACGTTTCCCCTGCCACAGGGATCGGACTCCTCCACACCCACCTCCACCTGGGGTCGCAGATGCCTTCCCAGGCGTCTCTCCCCACCACTCGCCGGCGAGCCCGAGACCCCGGGCGCGCGCGAACACATATTCTCACGCTTCCCCAACCTCCCTCCTCGCACCGGGAGAGGCCGGCTTCGCTGGAGCTCAGCCTGGCCGGCAGGAGCTCGCCACCCTTGCAGGCATGTGGGTGCCCGCTCCGCCCCCTCCCGCAGATCCCCTCGGAGCCCCCGCCTCCCAGCCGGGGAAGAGGAGGACGCAGCAACTCCCCCACCACCCCGGACATACCACCTCTGTGTCTGTTGCCTCTTGCCCTAACCCTCCGCCTGTTCCCACCACGTCCTGGGCAGGCCTGGGCACTCACCGGAGATACTGCGCGCTCTGCAGGCTCATCCTCCGCCGCCGCGTCTTCCCGCGAAGCCTCCGTGGGTCTCTCAAGCTCCTCGGAGCGGCCCCGCGGCACCACGGGTGCTGGCGGCCGCCGCCATCTTCCTCTCCTCCGGCTCCTCCTCACTCGGCGCGGGGGGAGGGGGGGAGGGTGAGTGAGGCGAGGGGGAGGGAGCGGGGAAGGCTGCTCTAGCTGCTGCTCTTGGCCCGTGGGGCGCAGGGACACTCCGACCCGGGAGGGGGAAAGGGGAGGGAGAGGGAAGGGGGCGGGGGAGAAAGGAGGGAGAAACAGAGGAAGGAAGTGGGGCTTCTCTCGCGAGATTTCAACAGCGCTGGTCCTTCAGGGTGACTTCCGTCTTTCTGTACCGCTCCCTCTTGGGAACCACAAGGCGCCTTTACGGCTGCTGCGGGATCTGCTGGTGGCGCTTGGCGGCTTCCTGCGGATCCACCCCTCTTCTCCCGCGCGAGGAGGCAACCCCAGCCTCACCAGGAACATCGAGCCCAAATCGACCGGGAGTTACACTCAAAGTCTTCCCCCCGTCTTTCCACTCCACCCGATTTCTCTCTTCCTTTTTCCACTCCTCCACTCTTCCCCGCCGGAAACGCCGCTCCTTCCTCCTACAGTTCCGCCCGCCAATCCCTCGATTCTTGTCTTCCCTCGCGCACGAGTGACGCGAAGGCCTCCTTCTTCTCTGCTGCCCCTCCCCATGCAAACTGGGAGACTTTTGGAGGAGGTAGGGTGGAAGAGAAAGGAAACCAACCGGATTGGATAAGCAGCTGTCATGGCAACTGGAGGCTGTGGTTGTATCGTCATAGTAACCGGAGTGTGCGGACAGGGTGACCCTCCCCTTGGCGAAAGGATTCCCGGGAAACCGCCCAGGATTCCCCCGTGACTTCCCTTCCCAGGCCACCCTGGCGTGGGAATCGAGGTAGTTTTCCCGGGCAGTGAAGTCAGTTTCCTCCTCCCTTCCCTCCTCCCTTAGCAATTGTGGGGAGACCCCGAGGCATTCACCGTGGGCATTTCCACCCGGTTGCGGGCGGGAACCACCTCCATCGTTTCCTCTCTGAGCCGAGCGTGGAGTGGGCCCGGCCTGCGAAGAAGATGCAGGGCCTGAAGGCTGGCGGGTGGTGGGCTGAAGCGGGCAGAGCGAAAGCGAGGCTGCGACGCCGGGCTGCGCAGTAGGGCGACGGGTTTCCCCACAACTGCCTCGGGCTCAGGGAGGCGGGATCCCGCCTGGACGGGGTCCCTGAGGGAGGAGAGCGGCACACGACAATAGCGATCCCTCTCCCGCCGACCAGCACATCCGAGTTTTCCTGCCAGCAGACCCCTTCCCGAAATCCCCTCCGCCCCACCCCACAGGACACCGTCGGCGACTGAGCGTCCGACAGCCTGCGGGACTAGACCGGCGAAGGTGGAAACACGTCCTAGAAAGCTGACAAGTGGTACTCAAGCATTTGAAATCCAGGACGGTCGGAGGGGCTTATTACTGCCCTCCCTCTTAGAAGGGTTCCCAGTAAGGATCCCGGCTTGATTATTAAAGGCCGCTTTTCAAGTACCCTCCTCCCAGGAGTCTCAGTATTTTAGAACTTGACACCCTGTAATTTGGGGATCAGAGAGAAAATATTGACTAAACTAGTGTTGGCACGAAGGTCCAATGAAAGGAGTCTAGGAAAAGAATTTTCCATTCTTATGAACAACTCTTTTTGAATGTCTTATATGCATTTTGTGTCAGGTACGGGGCTAAAACGCAGTCAATGTATTGTAGAGTGTATGAGAATTGCTGGAGAAGTCGTCATGCTGACAGCTTGAATAAATTGACGTTTTCCAAATTTCATTTTCAGTTCATCTTGTGGAGTCATGTAAGCAGGTATCCCAAAATACTTGAGAATAAATAATGGTACGCAACCTTTAGAAACGCACCCCTCACTGGATAGTTAAAACCAGGATTTGAATGCGCAGTTTTTGGTTTGGTTTGAGTATCAGATTCCTGCCATCTTTCCAAGCTAGCTGAAGGGGCACTTTGAAATCCTTCCCTGGGACCGCACCCACTAAAAGACCGGACCAATGTTTATTTGGAACTTCATGTTTAAGTTTGGGGGAAAGAAAAGTACAGCCGACTTTGAAATAAATCCCAAGGACAGGTTGTCATTAACGAAATAGAAAAGGAAAGTACTGCCTAATTTGAAATAAATCCCAAGGACAGATTGTCACTAAGGAAACAGAAAGTGACTTGTGCCCCTCGTGCTGCAAACAAGCGCCTAGTATGATGCGCGATGACGCGCGGTGATTGCGGCAGTACTTTGCCCCCAATCTTCCCTCTGACACCAAGGCGCCGCCCACTCCTGGGAAAGAGAGCCACCTAGTGAGAGACTGGCACATCTCCGATGTAGCATCTTGCTTTTCCTTCAGTCGTGAGAGCCCAAAAATGAAGATTGCTACTACATAGTTTGTTTCCTTGAGTTTATGAGTTAGATTCCCACAGAATGAAGCTTTTATGTTTGTGTAAAATAATTACTCCCTTGCTATTATATCTCACGTCTGGGGCACGTAACGCCAGTGAACAGTATATGAGCAGATCTGGTACACTTACGATATAAAATTTATGAAAATATTACTACTGTTATTAAATATTTTGGAAACAAAATGGAATCAGAAAGATGAACCCTTTTGTAATAGTTTGCTGATTGATGTTCAATAAGCATTTACTGAGCACTTACATTTCAGGGACTGTCCAGATTATTATGAATACTATGATGAAAGAAATATGTTCCCAGTCCTGGAAGAATTCATCTTCTGGTAGAGACATTGTACTAGAGAAATGACTAGGAGGTAAAATAATGGGTGTAGTAATTGAGGTAAGAACAAAGTAAGAACACTGATGAGGTCGGAAATAATAAACTAAGACTTTTACAGGGTTTGTTAATGCTTTACAATATCCCTACACACTAGATAGAACAATAGTAACATCACATTTATGCTAATCTTTTTTTAAAAAACATTTTTTTTTAATTTTTGGAAGTAGTTGGAACCAATACCTTTATTTTATTTATTTTTATGTGGTGCTGAGGATTGAACCCAGGGCCTCACATTTGCTAGACGAGCGCTCCATCCCTGAGCCACAACCCCAGCCCCACATTATGCTAATCTTAAAAATAACTTTTAAAAATATGATTCAGAAAAAATATTACCTGAAACTTACATATTGCTAATGCACATTTTATTGTCTCATCTCCTTCTACTGTCCCATTTAACAGACTTGATCATCATCCAATGAAGTAAAAATCATAGAATGCAAACATTTTTCTGCATTAGGTTTTATTCACCTTTTCCCCTTGCAGCTGTAAATTAAATCTAAACCAAAAGAAATTTCCCTATTTCCATTAATCCTACCTGATTTTAAATTATTTGGTTTATCTTTCTGACTCAAGTGATTTTGTGGAAAGTTCATAAGTAACAGGTCTGAGTGTGTCCCAGCTCTATCATCTCAGCATCTAAACTTCAGTTTGCTGAGGACATTACCTATCACAGGCTTCCTATGAAGTTTAATGATGATATATTTTGACTGTTGCAGCAACTGAGGTTGAGGCAGAATGATTGCAAGCTCAAGGCTAGCCTCAGAAACTTAGACAGTCTTAAAATAAAAATAAATAAATAAAAAGGACTATGGATATGGCTGAGTTGTTAAGTGACCCTGGGTTCAGTCCCCAGTACAAAAAATATATATATACATATTGACTGAATTTATAACATGTATAACACTGGCACATAATAAACATTCATTTTCTCTGCCTTTTTGCTCTTTAATATCAAGCTAAAATGAATAATTTAGGACTTCTGCAACATAAAATTATTTTTTATCTTTTAAATGAATTATTTTTTTAGTTGTAGATGGACACAATACCTTTATTTTGTTTATTTATTTTTATGTGGTGCTGAGGATGGAACCCAGTGCCTCACAGGTGCAAGGCAAGCACTCTAACGCTGAGCCACAACCCCATCCCCTAAATAAGATTACTTTTTAAAATATTTTTTAAATAATACTATAGTCTTTGTGCATAATACTCATAGGTCTGAGCATACTTCCAAAGCTATCATTTGGTGGTAGAAGATCAATTTCTTTATTCATTATTTTGATTAAAGAACACTATATCAGGACATTATTAATTAAATTCTAGAAGTTTGAAATTTTTCAAAAACCTTTATCACTGCCAAACAGCCCAATATAACCATATTTCTTCCCAATTAAATATAATAGCCACTTTTCAACCAAATACTGAGAACTTGCTGAGAAGTTACTCTTATGGTTCTCACCAAATATACCCAGAGCTTCATTAACCTTACAATTAATACATAGCAAGCCTCCTCCCTTTTTATAATAATAGTTCCCACCTGTTCCATGAAACCTTAATAAGTACTCATTTATTTTAATATTTAACCTACATATTCTGAATGTTTCCAAGTCATGTGCACAATTAAGCACTTAATAGATGTGTTTCTATTTTGATGAGAATGATTCATCAATTGCATACTTGAGCATACTGAGTGGCGTTCTTTAGTACCACACCTGAGACAATGGAGCTAAGTAATTCAATCAAGTGAATGATTCATTCTCTTCAAATAGTGAGTCAGTTACAAATTGGCATTTAAACTCAGGTCTTCAGTTGCACAAAATTTCTTAGATCAAGGGTCAGCAGCATCTTCAAAGAGTTTACCTAGTGTATGTTCATTCTTTCATTCCTAAGAGGGAGTTGCTTAGCCTGAAAAATAGTAAAAAAGCATTATAGTCCTAGATCCATGGAAAACCACTTCTGGTTTGGGAGGCAATAGGTTGCCAGTTAAGAAATGGTAGTCAAGAGTGCTCTTTATCTGTCTTTCTTCCATTTTCCTAGTGTTTACTAAAGGAAACTACTAATTTCCAAGAATTTCCCCACATACTCAAGAAGCAAATACCTCTGAGAAATTACTATACCGGAACAACTGATAATTTAATGGACACAATCAAAAGAAGACAAGAAGAGATGCTGATAGGGAAGATGGAAGAGTATTTAAATATAAAAATATTAGCCTCTCTCCTCTATTGTCAGAGGACCTTAGTGTTAGTGCAGCACTTTACTACTCAAACACAATGCTAATCAAAGCCATCCTGTGGTCCCAAATCTAAAATCCCTGTATTTCATGTCAATGTCTGTTGTATTTGTGTTATCCATGACTGCCGTTTTTTTTTTTTAAAACATTCAACTAAAGGCACATAATTTTTAATGTCTTCTAGTCTTTTCTAATTTCTACTTTGTAGATACTATTTTTGAGCACATAGAATATGTTGCTGATATTGTCATAAATCTGTTCTTCAAAACTACAGGAAACCACATGTTCATGCATGTGCACAGACACATATCTTCTTCCTTTCACTGCCATTGTTACTTGCATTTCAACTTAAAATGTGATAAAGATGAAAAACAAAGAAACTTAATTTCTTAATCTGAACTTGAATGGGATTCATCTGCCTCAGCCTCCAGAATTGCTGGGATTACCAGTGGTGCCACAGTCTGTCCAGCTGAAAAAGCAAAGAAACTTAAAGCAGGTTCATTGCTCTGAAGCATACCAAGGTTATGTACCCAAGCACAATTTCACTTTGCTTTACTAGCCCAGTCTTCTCAGAAACTTCTATGTATCAGAAACTTAGATGGTTTGTCCCATATTTATGAAAATTCTTAATATCATTGAATTAAGAAATAAGAGGACACTGCACAACAAATTAAATGGTAAATTAATGTATTCTTTCATTCCACATTTTAGCCATATTAAGCTTTTAAAAAAGCTTTCTTTTGATTTTCCTCCTAGATCAACGCCTCTACTGGCTTTCCAATTACCCTTAGGACTTTGTTCCCAATCCTTTGGGTGACCTGAACGTTCTGACCCCTGCCTGACTCTTTTCCAACCCCACCTACCTACCCATGCACCACCTTTGCCACTCCACCTATAATGACCTCTTGGATATTCTTCTCAGAGATTTTAGACAAATGGTTCCCTCTATATAGGTAACTTTTCTTTCCAGATTACTTTTCTCTTTTTTGCTGAAAGCCTATACCTGAACTTCTCTGGACAAATCGCCTCTACTTCCCTACCCCCCACGACCAAGCTAAGAAACTATACTAGTACTGTGTCCATAGCACTGGGTCCTTCTTCTTGGCACCTTTTATGGGTATAATTCTTTGTTCAATGTCACCTCCCATTATAAGCTCTGTAGTGGTACTGTGCTTATTTTGCTCACTGCTGTATTATCTTTCTCCTAGCAAAGTGCCTGGTACAAATGGTGTTCACTAAATGTTCAATCAGTAAATTTAAAAAGAACTAATACTGCTAGGTGTGGTGGCACATGCCTAGAATCCCAGTGGCTCAGGAGGCTAAGGCAGGAGGACTGCAAGTTCAAGATCAGTCTCAGCAATTTAGCAAGCTCCTGAGCAACTTAATGAGACCCTGTCTCTAAATATAACATAAAATGGACTGGGGATGTTGCTCAGTGGTTAAATACTCCTGGGTTCAATCCCCAGTACCCAAAACATAAAATAAAAATTCCTGACTACCGTACTGAGGAATATTCTTTAAAAGTAATCCCTAAGCAATAAGTAAGGAACTTTACTGGGCCTTCAACCAATCTGGGTAATTGAAATCCGCTCTTATATTTAACAAGAATGAAAGTTTTAATTAAATGACACTTATTTAGACAATGAGTAAAGTATATAAATATAAGATTAAGGATAGCTCATCCATTATATCAAAGTCTCAAGCTTTAATGTGGAAACAAAGTCTTCAATATCCAAATTATTCTTAACT